AATATAAGTTTTTGAAGTGCTGAAAGTGACCCCGAGCAAGTTCCTTGATCTCCCGGTTTCCTTACCTGTGAAATGAGGATGATGGCCAATACTTAGGGGTTGTTACAAGAGTCAGTGGCATAAAGTCTGTAAAATCCAGGTTAAGTGCCTGGCATACAGCAAGGACTCGATTACTTCTAGATACGATTCCTTGTCATTCTTATTAAATGATTGGGAACTACTTCAGCAACTTCTGTTCAACCCCAGCTCTCTAACACACGAGCCAATTTGTTAGGAAACCATATGGAGTCCTGTAAAACCATTCAAAGTCACTTGGTCCTTGCAAGTCTGGGGGGATCAGACTAGACGACCATTAAGTTCCATGCTTCCCCTGAAACAATCTAATAATCCCTAAGGAGGTCCTCCCTAGTTCTGGCCCACTGGGGGTATCAGGATTCTACAGGTGACTCTCAAAGCAGGAAAGTCATAGCGGACAAGGGCAGGTTAAACTGGGCCACTGAGGAAGGGAGAAACCCCCTGCTCCCTCCTGAGAGAGCAGCAATCAGGGTAGCAGAAAAGAGTCTGGGGTCCAAGTGGGCCCCAAGTCTAAACGTGACCCACCCATGGAGCACCTGTGCTGAGAAGAGGCTGATTCAGGGAGACAGACAACAGCATAACATTCAGAGCTGAGAGGTCATCCTCCCCTGGCCAAGACAGCTTTGCGCCTAGGGCTACGTGACCTCATTGCTGGTGAGGACTACGAGAAGTCTGAGTGGGGAGGGGAACAGCCTGGACAGTTGTAAAGGAAGGGACAGAGCAGGAATGTGACAAGATTGCCACCCTTGAAGTCACCAGAAAGCCTGTTCTCCTTGGACTTCTGGCAGAGGTCACTATTAATATTATGTATTATCATGAATAGTACTACATTTATTGAGCGCCTACTGTATGTCAAACCTTACACTTAAATCTTTGCATGAATTATCTCATGTAACCGTGGTGAGAAATCTAAGAAGGTTACTATTATTATCACCCTCGCTTCCCAGGTAAGAAACCTGAGGCTCCAAGAGGTTAAATTAGTTGTTGTTCCAGGTGCACAGCGTGGGCACCTGCCTCGTTAAGTGACAGAGCAAGCCCAGCACCACCCCCACCACCTCTGGTTCTTTGCTGCCAGTCCTGACTCATTTCTCCAGCCCTCTTCCCTCCTCTGCCCTGGGCATGTGGGAAGAAAAGGAGGGAAAGAGAGGCCCACAGGTGGGTGCTGGCACCCCTCACCCTCACACCCATTTCTTGTTGCAGGAAAGTAAACAAGTGCTACCGGGGCCGTTCCTGCCCCATCATTGTGCACTGCAGGTGCGTGCAGAGGGGCTGTGGGCAGGGGTGGGGAGGGAAGGGCACAGGACGGCCCAGGCCAGAAGGCTCTGATGTGGGGCATTCATGATTCCCGCCCCTCTCTCTGTCCCTGGGCACATCTCCCATATACATGCTACCTGCCTGTCCCCTTGATGCTGGCAAACTAAAGCCATGGCCAAGTTCAACATACCATCTGGGTTTTTTTTTAAGTTTTATTTATTTATTTATTTATTTATTTGAGTCGGGGAGGGGCAGAGAGAGAGCAAGAGCAAGAATCCCAAGCAGCCTCCACACTGTCAGCACAGATCCCGATGCAGGGCTCGATCTCATGAACCATGAGATCATGACGTGAGCTGAAACCAAGAGTCGGACACTTAACTGACTGAGCCTCCCAGGTGCCCCACCATCTGTGGGGTTTTTTTTTTTAATGGCCCATGAGTTAAGAATGGTGTTCACATTTTTAAATGCTGGAAGGAAAAAAAAAAAAAGAGTGTGTGACAGAGACTATATGTGGCCCACAAAGGTGAGAGCATATACCCCCTGGCCATTGACACAAAAAGTTTCCTGAGCAAAAGCCTGTCCAGAGGCCAGAAAGGGCCAGTCCCCTCCCCCGCCCTCCTGCTGCCTTGCCTCTACCTTAAGACTGAGCCAGGGCTCTTCTCTTAGGTTGGCCCGCTAAGTGACATCCCTTGGGTCACAGGCTCCACACTCAAATCCCAGTCTCCAGGACAAAGGGGCTCTGACTGCTGCCTCCTCGGCTCACTCACGCCCTCCTCCAGCCAACCCTAATGGCTCCCGCAGCGTCTTGGCCACCATAAGCCTCCAGGTCTCCTCTGCCCCTCCCCCTTGTCCTGAGCTGAGCCTGTCATCCTCTCCTGTTTCAGCGACGGTGCAGGGAGGACTGGCACTTACATCCTCATTGACATGGTACTGAACCGCATGGCAAAAGGTGAGGACCTTCCCCTCAGCATCTGTGGCCCGGCCCCCGATTAGACTTTGCAGCACGCAGACTCAGAGGAGCTCTAGGAGGACAGGTCGTCACACCCCCAGGCTTTGCCCAATCCTCCAAGCCTCCCAACCCAGGATGCTCCAGGCTTTCTGGGCCCTCTCCTCCTCTGGACACCCCCTGAGCTGCCCCATGCCCTCTCCAACCTCCAGGAGTAAAGGAGATTGACATCGCTGCCACCCTGGAGCATGTCCGTGACCAACGACCTGGCCTCGTCCGCTCTAAGGTGACTGTTCCTCTTCGCCTTGACCCTAGCCGCCAGCCTTCCCCAGGAGGAATCCCCCTTCTCCCAAGTGACCTCACCAGCTCCCCCTCCCCAAAGCCCCCTTGGCGCACGGAGCAGAGGTCAGAGCAGAGGTCGGTGCTCCCTGTGACCACCCTCCCACTGCCCTTTCCCAGGACCAGTTTGAATTTGCTCTGACAGCTGTGGCAGAGGAGGTGAACGCAATCCTCAAGGCCCTGCCCCAGTGAGCCCCTGGGGCCCCTCCGTGGGCAACCAGCCTCTGCTCCCTCTTCGCCTGTGTGAGCATCTATCTGTGTACCCGCTCCTTGCTTCCCCATCCCCACCACCTTGGTCCCTCTTGGGCATGGCCAACCATCCAAGAGGAGTGTAAGGAAGGGGGAGTGGGAGGGGGGCAGGCCCACCCAGCCTCTCACGTGTCAGAGCCCAGACATCCCAAGGGGGGAGCTGACAGACAGCCAGGAGCTGAGGAGAGTCCTGAGCAGCCATTCCACCCAGAGTCTTCTCCTGCCTGAGTTCCCTGGCCATCTCCTGTTCTTCTAGAAGCTCCCGCTATGTCTTTGTGGACAGAACCGGGTGAAGGGCCGCCACCCCCAGCCCTTCTCGCTTTCCCAGCCCCTGCTGCCTGCTCCCCTCCTTCTGTGGCACCCCCCCCATCCCCGCCCTCCCTGCTTCTCTCACACCTCCTCCCCTGCCCTCCTGGCCTGTGCCACTCAACTCTCTCCCTCTGGAACAAGAGAACATTTCTAGAAAAATCTACTTTTGTATCAGTGTGAATAAAGTTAGTGTGTCGTGTGTGCATCTGCAACTTGGACTCCTACACTTTTCCGGAGGCTCTGCTTCCAGACTCCAGCTCAGGCCTCACTGGGGAGCCGGGCCCTGCTGCATTTCTCAGGTGATGCAGTTAGTGATGGGCGAGCCAGGCTCCGGAGTCTGGCTCTCCGAGCCCTGAATGGTGGCCAGCAGGGAAGCAGTTCTCGGTGCTGTGCTGGCGGTCTCTCTCCAGGATGCTCCCATACAGTAGCTTGTTTCATCTTTGCTCACTAGCCCTGAAGAAAACTCCCCCGACATCATGCAAATTGTACATAGTGACGTCAGGATTCGAACTCAGGCATGCTTAACATCTTTATTGACTCTCCTCTTAGTTCTTGAGCAGCTGTTTCATGCCCTTCAGCCTCAGGAAGATGTGTGTCATGTAGGACTGAGGTTAGGACCGGACGAGGCGGTCTGGGCAAAGTGCCAGCACACCGTAAGCAGAAGTAGCTGAACTCTGGATGGCAGCTTGTAGACCGGGAGGGTGAGACCTCACGACAGGCATTCGCCTGGGAGCACTTTCTCCCATTCTCCCCTCCCCCAGCCTGCCTCCCCGTACCCAGAGGAGCCCTCACCTGCAGGTCGGGAGGCATCCTTGGACAAAGGTGGTGGACGCAGAAATGTGGCAAAAAGAGCCTTGGGCCTGGAGCTACTTGGGAATTAGGGCCTCTTAACCTTCCCAAGGCTGTCCCCTCACAGGAAAAATGGGGGGGGGTACATCTGCCCTGCACGGTGAGCAAAGGGACCAGCAGGCGGACCACAGGCCCCCCATGCACCTCACCTGTGCTCTGCTGAGGCTCAACTCCAGTGTTTGACATCTAAAAGACTAGAAATGGGCAAAACAGCCATTTTTCAAATTTCAGATTCTCTCTTTTGAGATAGAGGCATGGAATTCCTCTTTCAGGGCAGGCTGCTCCCTTGCTTTGAGGAAAATACAGCATAAGCCTTTTGGCTACTGAAGAGGAAGTGATGCACTCATCATGGAATGGGAGAGGGTCGCTGGGGAACCACACCGCTCTGCTGGACAGGGGAAAGTTGCTGGTGTTGTGGCTGGAAGGGTATCTCCGAAGCTGGCGGGGTGGGGTGGGGGAGGGGGGGACAGGTCCCTGGATTTTTCCTCCCTAGGCCCTGATGAGTTTCAGGTCTAGACCCTGGGTAAGCTGGACCTGGGCCACTCCATGTGGGAAAGGCAGGCCTTTGAGACTGGCCACAGGCCTTGAGGTAAGGGAACCCGGGAGGGGCTCAGTCTATGGACGTTAGCGATGTGTTTTCACAAATGATCTCTTTTCGCGTTTCCCTACTTTCTGTCATCCCCATACTCGCAGTCATAGCTTAGTCTGGTCCTAGCTGTGCTGCAGAGCCTTGGGCAGCTTGTCCTTGCCAAGGGGAGCAACAGCTCCCTGGGGAAAGCCAGTTGTGGGGCCACCAGTGCAAGGGCGAAGAATTGGGCCTTGACAATACACTTGGGGAGCCGCCTGGTCAAAGAGGGGACTTCTGCTGTCAGCTGGGAAGGCTTGTGACTTCTAGGTGTTTGGGCAATGGGGGGGAGGTCCCTAGGGCCCCTTTGGGGCCACCCTGGAAAGGAAGAACACAGGAACACAGCACACCACCGAGCTCTCGAAACAGCTTTATTGACTTCCAGTGTTTCTCTTTCGGTCTGAGCTCAGCCCAGCTGGCTTTGATAGGTCTCTGAGATGCAGTGTCACAGGGCTAGCAACACTCTGGCTCCACCACTCCCCCCCCGGCCCCTGGGCTCCCCAGGCAGGGAGGAGGAGAGGCAGCTCATTTGTGCTGGAGAAAATGAATGGGCAGCGGGGTCAGAGGCCAAAGAAGCCATACAAGCAGCAACATGCCCGGAGTACCCATTACACACCAATCCTGGCCATGCGTGTGCGTGCATACACACACACACACACACACACACACACACACTGGTACACACACACTCTCTCACACTGGCCTCCTTCCCTTCCAAGCTCTCTGCCTGCCCACACCCATCAATCAGCCTTCTGGGGTCACGCCCCGCTTGTAGATCCCGCTTGTTCCTCAGATCCCAGGACTGCCCACAGGAAAAGAGCCTCTTCAGATGCCACAGGGCTTTGATCTGTACGCTTGAAGCCCAGCACTAGCAAGAGGTGTCAGGGGAACCGAAGCTTGGTCCATTACCCCTTCATCCACATTCTTGCCACCCCCACCAGGGTCAAATCAGATGACAAGATCTCCCCATCTCACAGCAAGTGACAAGCCCACCCGGGCTAGAACTACATGTCCCAAGATGCACAGCTCCACAACCACGCACCACTTCCCCCAAGATGATCAATCAGAAATGAGGCAGGGTGCATTGCATTCTGGGACTTGTAGTCCCCAGGAGACAGCACCAAACCCCCAGGGAAGAGTTCACAGGCTAAGACTACGGAAGCCTCCCACCCGGCCCCTGCCCACCACCCAGGCCCAGCTCTATGTTCAGCATGGGCGAGAGAAGAGGAATGGAGGGTCCCCTTCTAGTGCACGGGGAAGGGCGCTGTCCCGTTGGAACTGTGCAGCAGCTCTGGATCCTGGCCATCCAGCTCAGAACACATCTGAGGAGAGAGCGGGGGTGGGGTGACAGGAGAGATGGTGAGCCGCAAGCTGTGGAGGATGGAGCCAAGCATGCAGACCTGGGCTAGCCCTGTGGCTTCTCCCTGAGCCCTGATGCATGGTGAAGTAGGACGGGGTGCAGTCCCCTCCTAGGCCTCCCTCCTGGGGCACCCTGGCCTCATCCCACCTCTCCAGGGATAGCCGGCCTCACCTCTGCCTAGTCCCGAGGCCTGGGGCAGGCTGAGGCAGCAAGAGGAAGGGAGGAGGAGTGGGCTCCGGTTCCGAATCTGGACGAGAGGCTCCCGCCCCACCCAGCTAGCCTCCCCAGAAGACCTTATGGCCCTACGGGCCACAGCATCTTCCCGGTCACACTGAGGCTTTCTTGGGGAAGGAAGATGGGAGTCCTAGCCAGATGGCATGAAAGCAAGCGATGCGGCCCGTGGGGAAGTGCAGAGAGAAGAGAGCGAGGGAGGAGCAGCAGCACCAGAAGGGAAGCAACAGAGACGTCAGAGCTCAACGCTGCACAGAAACCAGGGTGGGGTGTCTGCAGCTGGGCAGGGAGCCCGGGAGACTCCCTGGCGTAGCTGCCGACTCCGGCTTAGAGAACCCCAGGCCAAGTCCTCCTTCCTTGACATCATCGGCAACACAGGTGGCAGAAGACCTGGGCACAAAGGGCCCGACCCAAACCACTAATGCCCTTTAGAAACTCCCCATCTAGTAGGAATAAGCGCATCCTGGCTCCTGGGAGGCCCTCCCGCTGCCCAGAGGCCCCCCACCCTGGGCTTCGCCAGGGACCTATCAGCTGGAGGCTGAGCGGAGCAAATGCCGAGTCCACACTGGAGTGTGGGCGGACATGGGAGGGAGACCGGCGGGGGGAGCACGGGCTGGAGAAGGGCTCCTGGCAACCCAGGCCATGCCGTGCCCCTCTGCTCCCGACGGTGAGCAGGACCCCTGGTGGCCCTGAATCAGGACGGTTTGGGCCTGTTTTTCAGAGGATGAGGCAGCGCGAGGCCTTCTCCTCCGGGGATGGGCTGGGTTTGGCCGTGTCCCCCCTTGCAGCCTCGGGGGCCCCCCCCATGCCGGGATCTTGGTCCTGGGCCTTGGGCCGCCCCTGCCGGCGCCGCTGCGCCCCCCGCCCACCTGCCGGTTTCTTCCCAGCTGCCTCCATCTCTGACAGGCTGTAGGCCATGGCAAGCTGCAGATCTTCATCATCCTCGGAGAGGTCGCTGTCAGAGGGGCGGGAGACAGGGGCCTGCCGGACCTGTGTGCCCCCGGACCTGGCGGTGACGGACTGTTGCTGCTCACGACGGCTCAGCTCCAAGCCCAGTGCCAGGTCATCTGGGACACCTACAGGAGTCACGGCAGCCATGAAGCCCTCCGACCCCGGCCAGGGGAACTCCCGCCAGGCTGCCCACTCACGGCCCCTGTTCTGGAAGCAGCATGCGTGCATTTTGGTTGCAACAGGTGCACACCGTCTCCCTGCCTGGGGCAAGTTACTCAACCTCCCTGAACCTCCCTTTCTCACCTGTAAAATGGAAACGATGACAGTATCTACATTGTCAAATCGTTCCGATGACTAAATAAGACAGAGCTCACAGAGCCACGGGACTCTCCCATTCTTGCGGGAAGAGTGCCACCCGGGGAAGCCTGTGTCCTGAGTGTAACTCCTGGCTTCACCCCTTACTAAGCAGGACAAAAGCCTGGGGTCTGGGGCTACTTGGGAGTTAGGGCCGTTTAATTGTGTTCCTCATGTGAAAAATAGGGTGAAAACAAACAAAACAAAACAAAGAAAAATAGAGAGAGTATCAACAACTCTGCTTCCCCCGTGGCTGTTTCAATACAGAGGCCATGTGTTATGTGCACAAGTGCTTTCAAAATAGTCAAATGCTGGGGCGCCTGGGGGGCTCAGCCGGTTAAGCGTCGGACTTTGGCTAAGGTCATGATCTCACGGTTCATAGGCTTAGGCCCCACATCAGGCTCTGTACTGACAGTGTGGAGCCCGTTTGGGATTCTCTCTCTCCTTCTCTCTCTGTCCCTGCCCCACTTGCGCTCTCTCTCTCCAAATAAATAAATAAACACATAAATAACTTTTAAAAAGATGCTGCGGCAGCTGGGTGGCTCATTCAGTTAAGTGTCCAACTTCAGCTCAGGTCATGGTCTCATAGTTCATGAGCTTGAGCCCTGCATCAGGCTCTCTGCTGTCAGCGCAGAGCCCACTTCAGATCCTGTAGCCTCCTGTATCTCTCTCTCAAAAATAAACAAACATTAAAAAAAAAAAAATAGTCCAATGTTCTGCAAACAGCAGGCACCCACTAATGATGAGGGTGATTAGCTGGCCCTCTGAGATTCCTCAGATCCCTGCCCCAGCCCCTATCCCGGGACCCTCATCTCTGATGCTGCAAGTCTGGCCTGTGGCTGCCATTCCCTCCCTGCCCCAAAGGAGCTCAGAGAAGACCAGTCTGGGAAGGGGCCCAGAGCTGGGGCTTCCTGCCAGGGACTGGGTGGCAGAGCCACTTCTCACCATTGATCGTGACTGACTTCAGCTGCCCGTCTTCTTCCACTTCCACCCGTTCCTGCCCGTTCTCCATGATTCTGCGGGGGGTGGTGCAGTTCACTCAGTGAGCATGCGTGAGTCCTGCAGCTGCCTGTCCACGGCCTGGGACGCTGCCGTGAACAGGACAGACCCTGCCCACAGGGGGCTGACATTCTAGTTGTACGTAGCTCCCCCTCCGCCCCTCATCCCTACACCTGGTATGGTCCCAAAGGAGCCCTCACCTGCGTGTCGTGATGCGGCGCCCTTGGACAAAAGTGGTAGACGTAGAAACAGAGCGAAAAGCACCAGCCCCAGGACTGAAGGAGAAAGATGAGGAGGAGAAATCTGGAATGGAGACAAAAGAGGAGGCAGAAAGGCTGTCAGAGGGAGGATGGAGAGGGCACGCTGCAGTCACAACAGGCCAGGAAGCTTCATGGGGTGTACCCGCAGAACTGATTGGGGGGGTGGGGGTCAGGTCTCCAGATGCACAGGAGAAGAGGCTTGGAAAAGCCTAAGCTGGGAGCTGGGATGAGGAGTTCCAGCATCCAGAGCTTGCAAAAAAGGGAAGGGAAAGCACTTACCCGAATGCCCAGGAAAGGAGGAAGAGAAGGTGAAGAAGGGGCCCGAGGGTCGGGAACCCCGGCTCTGGAGCTCTGAGAAGGGGCCCAGGTCATCTGCAACCAGCAAGCAGATTAACAGTCATCTGGTAAAAAGACTTGCCCCCCAAAAATGTGTGAAGCCTGTCAGTCTACAAATGTAACCTGATAAGCATTTCTGATTTTTCTTTTCTTTTTTGGTTGGACTTGTTTACAAATTAAATTTCCTCTTAATATTATGTATGGAAAAGACCAATAGTAAATTCTGTCCACAAAATAAATAAAGGAAGGAAGGAAGGAGGGATGGGAAAGCGGACAGGAGGACAGCTAGCTCCTTACGGGCAGATAAGCAAGGTGTGAAGCTGGCCACCCCTGGCCACCCTCCGGGCTCTCCCCTTTGCTATGCGACTCTAAGCAAGTTATCTGAAAGTACCTTTGTTTTCTCAGCTGTAAATGGGGAGAAAATGATCCAACTCACAGGGTTCATATTAATCATTCGAAAAATGGTATGTTATTTGTGATGTCATTATTATGGTCACATGGTGCTTTGAGTCTTGCTTTCATGGTTGCTATTGTGCAAGCCTAACAATGTCTTATTGTTACCATCATTTAATAAGGCGAGTCTCTGTGGGTTCAGGCCTGTGTGAGGTTCTGGCCCAGCTGTCACTGGATTCACCCCCACAAAATCTTCTGTCTGTGGAATCCTGCTTCCCTTTCAGCCTCCTGCCTCAGGGCCCCCCAGCAGATGGACAACAGGCCTGGAGCAGGAGCCGGGCCGTAAGAGGCCTCCTGAGCCCACTCACCGAAGAGTTCCGCAAAAGGGTCTCCACTCCCAAAGAACTCCCGGAAGACCTCCTCAGGGCTGCGGAAGGTGAAGGTGAAGCCGGGCCCACCACCACCACCAGGTTCTGCTCGAGATGGGCCAGTTCCTGGAGGAGAGGCAGGATGGGGAGAGGGCTTAGGGCATGCATCTTGCCCTGAGCCGAGGGACTCCACCGAAGGCATGGCCAGGAGCCTCAAGAGAGCACCTGCTGCAACAATCTGGCCCCCCCTCTCCTCCATGACCCACTTTCATCCCTGGGCCCCCGCCGCTCCACCTACCTGCCCCAGTCAGCCCTTCCCGGCCATAACGGTCGTAGATCTCCCGCTTATGCTCTGGAAAAAGAGACCAGATCATTTCTCCCTCCCTCTGGGATAACAACCTCCCCTTCCAGACTGGGGCCCTCAGAGGATTGCCGAGTGCAGAGGACATGGGCTATAGGTTTTAGCAGCGCCCACTCTTCACACAGTGGCTCCTTCTCATCTGTAAAACGGACACAGGAACAGCACCCACCTCACAGGGTCGTTGCAAGGATTAAATAAAATAATCCACGTAAACGGATTAGCATAGTGGCTGTTCAATAAATGTTAGCTAATAATTATTACTGTGGTATTGATCAGGGCTTAGGCTAAATGTCACCTCCTCAGAGAGGCCTTCTGTGACCACCGTAACAAAAAATGGGGCCATTATTCCCTACCAACCTCACTCTGCTACTTTCCTTCCGAATACTCTTGTCTCTGTACTTCTTTGGTTAATGTCGGTGTTCCTGGACCCAAAATGGAGTAAACCCATCATGCCCAGTGTCTGCTTGTCCCCCATTGTTCCCCAGGACCCAGCAAGGACCCAGCACCATAAACATTCAATGAATATTTTTTGAATGAAGAACTAAATAAAAGGCCTGGATTCATATTTCAGCTCTGTGTGACCTGGGGTAAATTACTTCACCTCTCTCCGCCTCAGTTTCCTTGCCTGTGAAGTGGGGGTGATAAATCCTGCCTTGCAGGATAGCTGTGAGGACTCCTGCAGATCACCCCCGCCGGTGCCTGGCACAGAGGAGGTTCGCCCCCGTAGGTCACCTGCCCTGCTCCCTTCCCTTTGTCAAGACCCATCCTGCAGCCATCAGATCCTGGGGAGCAGACACTGAGCACAGGGGACCAGGGGAAGAATAAAAGAGTACTTTGCACATAGTAGGTGCTCACTTGAATTGAAGCAAAAAAGAAAAAGTCCCAGAGTCCCTTTGGGAGGGGCGTGGAGGACATTTAAATGCCAGGTTGGGAAAAGGCACAGAGGAGATGGGAGGTGGCGGCATGGCTTTGGGAAGCAACAGAACGGGGCACAAAACAGGGGTGCCCTGGCCCTGGCCCTTACTGTCTGACAGCACTTCATATGCCTCAGCCACCTCCTTGAACTTCCTCTCAGCAAATTCTTTATTATCCGGGTTCTTGTCTGGGTGCCACTGTAGAGCCTTCCTCCGATACCTGCAGGAAGTGGGTTCAGAGGAGTGGGTCAGAGGACCAAAGCAAGCACTTCCCACCATGGGACAGAACGACCCATTTGCCCATTGGCCTGCTACTGTCCTTGCCCCACTCCGATACCGTCCACCCCAGCTGCTGGGGCCGCCTGGGCTGCCATGTTTTAATGGAGTCCCTGTGTCTCCTCTCTGCAGCCAGTGCTGGGGGCTGTCCTAGTAGCAGATGATAATGTGAGCCTGTGAAGCCCCAGCCCTGCCCCCTCCCTGGAGCGCAATGGGGCTGCAGAAATGGGAAATATGTGTTGCCATGGAGGGTACCGGGCCCTGGTCCCTTCTGGTCACACGCCTTGGGCATTTTTGCAGGTAACCTAAGAAAGCCCACACTTAGGGGCTGGGATTGGGGTTGGAGTGAGGGAAAGGGGGACCCACTGGAGAAGGACCCACAGTGCAGCTCCCAGCAGAACATCATGCTAAGGACTTTCTCCTAGTCTTCCAGGGGTCTTCTGCCTCCCTATAGAGGGAACCCCTCCCCCATCCTTTCTAAGGACCTGGCTCCGTCGCGGCAAGACTTCTGAAGGACCCTATGGTGGGGGCGGGAGGGGGGCGGTGAGGCACTTACGCCTTCTTGATGTCATCAGCGGACGCACTTCGCGGCACGTCTAGGATATCGTAGTAGGATGCCATGGCAACTCGTCAGGAGTCGGATGGGCCTCCTCCTCGGGGCTGCAGGAGAGGAGGAGGAGTCACGCAGAAAGAACCAAGGACCCCTCCCTAGGGCTGGAGACCCCCGGAGGGAGCCGGAAGGGCTCCCAGCGGGGAAGCGGAGCCCGCTGGCTTCTGCTTGGGGCCGGGGACAAGGCTCCCTCGGGCTGCCTTTATCGGTCCCCCGCAGGCCAGCGCCACACGGGCTATCTCCGCGCCCAGGCCCCGGGAGCCCTATCGCAGCCCCCTAATTCCAGCAGCCTGGACCGGGGCCTCCCAGCCTAAGCGGGGCCCCCCGCCCGCACCTCCTCCGCCGGGAGTCCCTGGCCTCCTGCAGCGCCCCGCCCCTGCCCCCCGCCGGAACCGTCTGGCACCGGTCGCCGGGCTCGCGGCTGCTGCGTAGGACGCGCCCGGCCCAGCTTTGCGCGCAAGCATGCGTCAGCGGCTCGGAAACTACTAGAGACCCAGAGGAGGCCGGCTCGGCCTGTCACCTAGGGGGCGGGGAGGCGGGGGGACTGCTGCAGGGGCTGCCGGGAGATGGGGGCGGAGCCGGCTATTTTGGGCTTGCACCCGGGCGACGTCATCCCCGGATGGGACCCGGGAGACTGGCAGCCGGCTCCCTCCCGGCGTGACGCACTCGCCCACAAACAAGCCACCCGGCCCTGGGTCTCGCTGTCGCTTTGCTATAAACAGGCTTGCTGATCGAAAGCTACTCACCACCTCAAGGACTCACAGACCCCCTCTGGACCCAAATCCTCCCGCCGCTCCCGCCCCGGGTCCTGAAAAGAGGCTGCCCCGCCTACTTCCCTGAGTAGGTCAGACCTGCCTGTCAGCATCTCGTGACATCCTCCATCCCGGTCGTCAGAGCTACAAGTCAGCACTTACTTGTTTGATTCTGATTAGCATTCACCTCCCCCGCTAGAATGTAAATTCCACAGGACCGAAATTGTGTCTTTTTTTTGCGCTAGTAGTGGGGTTCAAAAATATTCTTTGGATGATTAAATAATGAACAGATTGGACTCTCTTGTTGACAGTTTTGACACATTTGGGGGAGTTGGGGTTAAACGGTAAAAGGAAAACAAGGAAAAGGAAATTCTGCGGGTTCAAGATTTGTTTTTTCTCCCAGAGTGATCCGGTGTAGATCTTATCAATGGTTCCTGGGTTCAGGCCTCATGGGAACATTGGAGAACTTTCCAGAATTGGCTGCTACTTGATAGCACCCAGGCCAATGCACAAGTATTAATTGAACACCTTCTACACGGTAGATGCGGCCAGGGTGTAAAAAAGAAGAATATGGCCCAATTCGTGTATTCACAGCTCCAACATGATGAGATACCAGCCCAGCAATAGAGCCCACTGGGAAACCCCAAGGTTTTAAAAAGACAGACCTGGGTTTGCACCCTGGCACTTTTGTGTGACTTGGCAAAGCCTGAGGACTCAGGTTTTCCTACCTAAGTACAGGTAACACCAAGGGCTGTTTGTTAGTCAAATGAGGTGTGGTACATAGTATATCTAGGTCTTGGTACATATCTTCTCTGGCATCATGATCGGCCCAACCAGTAATGCTTATGTGAGTTCACAAGAGTGTTTTCGGCTGGGTGACCTAGAAATGCTTCACCAAAGAGAAAGGCTTGAGCCAGACAGGAGGGAAGAAGGTGGTGTGCAGTCCTCTACTTTACCTGGCTGCCCACAGTCTGACCCTTTTGCCTACATTTGGGGGAATCCCCTAACATTGTGTAGACCTGGCAGCCCACCACCTGTCACAAAGCCCAGACACTTGCTCTCCCAGACTTCTCGGCTCCAAGGGTACAAGCAAAAGACATAAGTTCTGCCAACTGAAAGCTCCAACTGGGACTTTGAATGTGGAGCAAGTCACAGAGAAGCAGGGGCAGTTGAGAATTCATTTCAGTGGTGGTTGTGAGAGGAGCCAGCAGCGGCCTCTAGTGTCTGGAGTAGGAAGTGTCAGTCTCAGTGCCTGGGTGAGAGGGAGCCGCATTGCAGCCCCTGTTCTGTAAGGAATAGGGGTCTTTTAGGCACGCTGTCCTGTGCTACGACCTTGACTATGATGCTGGCTGCTCAGCTTCCCTTAGTGCCTACCTGTTTGTGGAGTCTCATCTGGCAGTATTAATTCTATGTGCTACCCCAGCGTCTCTCCAATTTGTGTGTGTTTGTGGGAGGGCGGCAGGGAGGGGTCTTTTTCCTTTTTTTTTTCTTTTTTAATTTGCCAGAGCTAATTTCTGCTGTTTACAAGGAGAGCCCTGACTGACCTTAGTATAGGAGAAAGGAATCACTCCAAGTGTTCCAACCAAATCATTCTTCTTACTTCTCTTATCTCCACAGACATTTGTCTAGCACATACTCTGTATGTGATATTATATTAAGAATTAGGAATCCAAAGGGATTTGAGTTCCAGTCCTTGTACCTGAGGAGATAAAAATCTAGTTGGGACATTGACAAATGACAGCTGAGGAAAATTATATTGAACACATCTAGCAAACAAAGGGTTAATTTCCTTTGCTCACAAAGAAAAGACAATGTAGTTTTTTAAATGGGCAAAAGGCACAGATAAGACATCACAGAAGAAAAAGTCTTGACTTTTAAACACATGAAAAGGTGCTCATACTCATTCATAACCAGAAAATTATAAAGGAAAGCTGCAATAAAATACTGTTTTACTTGTCAGATGATTGACAAAGGTCAAAAAGTTGTACGTGCTGTGGGCATAGGCTGTGGGCATAGGCATGCTAGTACACTGGTAGTGAGAGAGCAATATGGTGCATATCAAAGTTAAAGGTGCATAGCTTTTGACCCAGCAATTCTGATTCTAAGAATTTACGGTTGTACATATGTACAAAGAAGTATGGGGGTGCCTGGGTGGCTTAGTCGGTTAAGCGTCTGACTTTCGCTTAGGTCGTGATCTCACTATTTTTGGGTTCGATCCCCACGTCGGGCTCTGTGCTGACTGTCAGCTCAGAGCCTGGACCCTGTTTCAGTCTGTGACTCCCTCTCTCTCTGACCTCCCCTGCTCACGCTGTCTCTCTCTCTCTCTCCTAGAAATAAATAAAAAAACATTAAAAAAATTTTTTAAATAAAAAAAATTTAAAGAAGTATGTACAAGGGTTCCAGCATTTGTTTCCAAAGCAAAGGATTGGAAACAACCTAAATACTCATTAATAGCAGTCTGGTTAAATAAACAATGGTGGGGTGCCTGGGTGGCTCACCTGGTTAGGTGTCTGACTTCGGCTCAGGTCATGATCTCGTGGTTCAAGGGTTGAGCCCTGTGTCGGGCTCTGTGCTGACAGCTCAGAGCGTGGAGCCTACTTCAGATTCTGTGTCTCCCTCTCTCTCTGGCCCTCCCCGCCCCCCTTGTGCTCTGTCTCTCTCTCTCTCAAAAATAAATTAACATTAAAAATAATAAAAATAAAAATAAGCAATGGTACACTATACAATGGAATACTGTATTGTTACCAAAACGAATGAAGCATATCTATATGTACTGATACGGACCATCTTCTAGGTTTTTTGTTAAATGAAAAAACAAGGGTAAAACAAAGTGTGTCTAAGTATGTACATATTAGTCCCCTTTATCCACAGTTTTGTTTTCTGTGGTTTCAGTTACCTACAGTCAACTGCAGTCTGGAGCAGATGATCCTCTTTCTGATATATCATCAGAAAGTCAAAATTAGCCTAACACTCCATTATAATACCAGCGCTATTCACCTTGCTTTATCTCATCATGTAAGCATTTTATCACCTCACATCGTCACAAGGAGGGTAAGTATAGTACAAGATATTTTGAAAGAGACGGTATTCATATAACTTTCATTAGAGAATATTGTTACCCCTGTTTTATTTTGTTATTATTTTAATCTCTTACTGTGCCTAATTTATAAATTAAACTTTATCATAGGGTTGCATGTATAGCAAAAATGTAATATATATGAGGTCTGATACTATCCATGGTTTCAGACATCCATCGGGGTCCTCAGCATGTCCCCTATGGATAAAGGGGGACTACTATATACACATTAATATACATGTAGATGTCTCTGGAAAGAAACACTAACAAAAGAGTTAATAGTGGAGGCTGTCAAGAGGGAAACAAAAGAAGAGGACTTATTTCCAATTATAGACTTATTCTTGCTGTTTTTTTTTTTTTTGTAATGTTTATTTATTCTTGAGAGAGAGAGCAGAGCATGAGCAGGGGAAGGGCAGAATGAGAAAGGGAGACACAGAATCCAAAGCAAGCTCTAGGCTCTGAGCTGTCAGCACAGAGCCTGACACAGGGCCTGAACTCACAAGCTGTGAGATCATGACCTGACCTGAAGTTGGACGCCCAACTGACTGAGCCACCCAGGCGCCCCTATTTTTGCTGTTTGTAAATCTTTTTTGTACCTTTTCAATTTGGAAGCATGTTCACATAATAACCGTCCAAATATACATGTTAATTTTTAAAAATCCAGGAGAAATAGGATATTGGCAAGACGCTGAGTGCCACCATACAAGGCAGTCCATGCCAAGTGCCAGATGAGTGATGGAGACAGACAGTAGGTGCTGGGGGAATCTAGAGAAGCGGGAGCTTCCCAGGGCTGGATGGCTCTGGGTGACCTAAGCTGGGAGGAAGGGCAACACAAGAGACAAGCAGGCGGACGCGGTATTCCAAAAGGAGGGAATGGTGAGAAGGCAGCTTGGAGGTCGGCATCGTCCTGACACATCAGAGATGAAGGAGTAAGTGCGTTGGGTGGAATGCAACTTGGGGACCTGCCTCTTGCATCTGCCTGCAGTAGGTAATTGCACCCGACTTTAGAAGCGTCAGGGATGAAAGAGTTCCCTGTAACGAGGGAGCCCCCAGGAGCCTGGGTGGCGCTCCCAGCTGCCCCATGCAGGTCCGGGCTGCCACCTCCCTGCATCCACGCCCAGTACAACCTAGGTCTGCCAGTGCCTGCCAGCAGAGTTACTAGCTGGGAGGCCTTGCAGGGTCTGAGAGGAGATGGCCACACAGCTGCCCAACGCAGACAAGAGGGCGCCTGGCCACATCTCTGGACGCCCAGCAATCCCGGCAGGTGAACACCTCACGTCCTTCTGGCCTCTCCCAAGCCCTCACCTCACATCCTATGAAATGTTGGAAGCAGGGGCCCCTTCCAGAGAGCACCCACAGCCCCCAGACCTGACTCCAAAGATGCTTCTGCCCCCGTTCAGCCCCAGAAGCTGTGTCTCTGCCCCCCACCCATGCCCTCCACCACAGTGTCTAGGCAAGGGAGTGTCAAGCGTCACCCCCTCCTTGC